ATATATATATATATATATATATATATATATATATATATATATATATAGTGTATAATAAATTTCCCTTTTAGTCGCCTTTTACGACACGCAGGGATTACGTTGGGCGTATTCTACCCCCGAGCCCACAGGGGGAGATAAAAAATGTATTCTTTTAAACTGCAAACAATCGTACTTGATGCTGGAAATATTATTCTCAACATATTAGTTAAAGAATTACTCTCTGTATCCCAGTTTATCATATAACTTTTATTCTAGATCCATAATACTTTACAATTAACTGACGACTATTTGATTACCAGCAGATTAATTCTATTTTCCAACACCATCGTTCTAATAATTTTTAAATTTCTCTTTCGAAAAAATAGTTGAAACTTCAACTCGAAGTGTGCGAGAATTCCAATCACTCGTGTCAATTCTACATTAAAATATTCCTTTGAAATATTAAAAAAAAAAAAGATCACATTGTCTCTCGAAGCGAGAGAGCAAAATTGAAATACGAAATGGAAATTCGAATGATCGTAACAGGGATTGAGATTGTGCCACCGGAGAAAAGTGACGCATTCTACCGCGTTGTAACTCGCTTACTGCTAGCCAACCTACGAGCAGTTATCTCTGCTCGAGATAGAGACATTGAAACCTCGTATGTTTCAGCGCACGAATGACCGCGAAACAATGCCTGCGTCACGATTGGTTACGCGGCGCGCCCACGCAAGCTTCGCCTCATCTGCGGAGATACTTGTCGAAGTCGCGAGAGGTTCTTCTAGAACGCGTTGTCAGCCGGGAGAATCTACGAAGGGCAGCGCTTCTGAGCCAGGCGAGCAGCCAAGCGAATCTGTCGAGCGACGCTCAGGACACGAGTCACTCGGATCAGAGCTTGCAAGACTGTCTGCTGAGCCAAAGCGAGATGTGCCTTAGCCACCGTTTGACCGGAAGCCGATCTAGTCTCGAGGGTAGCGAGGATTTCCCAAGTCCCGCCGACTCGCGAACGAGTCTCAACTCATCCAGAACGAATCTCAGCTGCGCCAGCCAGAGCTGTCTGCTGAACAAAGAGCAAACCCAAGGTTTGCTCAGTCGGGCGCAAAGTCGTTCGCAGGCGAACTTGAACCACGGCCCTAGTCGGGGCCTTCTGTCTCGAATACGAAGCCTGAATCGAATCCAGTCTCAGGCGTGTTTGCTCAATGAAAACACCCCGGCAGCCTCGGCTTTGCAGCCGCGAATGACGATCAACCCTGTGATCAGCAAGTCGCGCGAGAAGCTGTACGGCCTGAGATCGTTGTCCAAGTCTCAGGGCGTTTTGGACATATACAGGAGCCTCGAGTGCCTCAGACGGAGAAGGAAGAGCTACCAACGAGCAAAAACGGAGGATATGGTGCCCATTTTCAAACGGTTGGGCGCTGAAATAGATACGTCCAACGTGTCAGACTCGTCGATAGAAACTGCGTGCAACGTCACAGGCGACCGCAGGTCCTACGACGATGTATCAAGCTTGATAGAAACGAAAAAGTATTTGAACGAAAAATCGATGGAGAAGGCAGAGATCGACGATCGATCGACGAAGACCGAGAGACAGGGAGAGACGAAAGATTTAGAAGCGTCGGGGGAACAGGCTTTGGAGTCCGAGGAGAATTTCGATTCGTTGAAATCGATCGAATCGGACACGTTGACCGAAGATTCAGACGAGACGCCAGTGAATCGCGGCAACGAGTCCAATCTAGTAGCTGGGAAACGACTCTGTCAGCGACAACATTCTGACGTTTCCAGTCACTCGAACAATTCTGGTACGTCGGATGACAAAGAGGACCGGTCGACCGAGTCTGAGACCGAGGAGCCAAAGTACACGGTGGCTCAGCTTGTGTCCGCGTTCAACAAGCATCAGGAAGTCGCCTCGAGGACGAGTTTGGAAGCGATAATGAGCGAGAAACGAGTGAACGAGGTGACTTTCCCCACTGGCACGAAGGCTTTGAGATTGTTCATACCGGACATCAACATCAGCGAGAGTAAAATCGTTCGACGAAAGACGAGTTACAAGCCGCGAAAGAATTGGGAAGAGTTGAGGAAGAAGAACGAGAGGAACGAAGGAATACTGAAGAATTTCGTTGATTCGGGCGACGAGGACGAAGATAACATTGCTACTTCCGATTCTAATTGCGAGAACGGCGAAGAGAAGAAACTGGATAAAGATCGAAAGGCTAAAGAGGAGGGAAAAATGAAGGAACCGTCTTCTGAACAGTGGTCGAGTCCATCGTCGATTGGCATCAGCGAAGATTACATTTTCGAGGAAGCTACGGTTCAAGATAACGTTGACACAACGATAGACGAGAAGTATAAGCAATGCGTTAAGGGCGCTAAATCAATGGAACCAACAACGGGCGACAAACCTCAGAAAACAATGAACAATTCAGATCGTTTGATCGGTAATGCTCGTCAGAGAGAAAGACTGCCAAATTACATCTATCCGGAGATAACGTGCCATGTTAAAGACGATTCTCCAGACTCGGCTAAGAAAGTCACCTCTGCAAATGGCAAAACGAATTTAAAGGTACAAAAAACAGAGCGAACGAGACCGGTATATAATACAGAGTGCGTTAATGTGAATTTGAAAGACATTCTGCAGCGAGTTGACAGTTTTCAGAATAATCCAAAAGAGAACATGGAAAACTTAAGGAAAAGGACGTCCATCACAAAAATAATATTGAACGACAATCAGGAGAAGAACGAGGGAGAAACTAGATCGAGTAGCCGAGCACGAAGCGAGCCACCTTTGAACTCAAGTCCCAGAGAAGAGGACCACAAGATGAAACTGGTTGTACCACCCTCTTTCACGAGATCCTCGTCTTTGTCCAGCGAAAGCAGCTGCCCTACTCCTTCCAGCGTGCACTCAGATGCGAACACTTCCTGGGAAGATGTTCAACGTGGTACCGTAGGATCGAGCGTGTTCTTGGAGAAGGAAGATACTAACAAAGTTCAACGAAGACACGAGATCCAGAGAACTTCGAGCGAGGGAAAGAACAAGCAATGCACAGACGACAAGAGACTTTGGGGTAGAGTGTGTACTGGGTCGTACAGCAGAGCGATGGAGAAATTTAGCAAAAATAACGACGCGAATAAAAAATCTATCAACCAATTGAACGGATCGCAAGAAAACGGGAAGATCAGAAGGAAAAGCAGTCCCGCTATGCCTCAATACATCAATCCGTAGAAATAAACTTCCCTTCTATGAGAAGACTGATTCTAGAACTTGGCCTTCCTCGATATATTGCGGTGACTCAGGCCGGGAAATCGAACAGCTGAACCTTTCTTTTCGAACGAACTCGGCCAAAGAATTGACAGGAACGAGACAATCGTTCTCGCGATCTTCAAACCTTGGCAACAACACGTCCGCGAACCTTGGTAAAACAATACCGCGGGACTTTACTAAGCAACGTTACTTACTTATGGCTGGTCGTGTTCGAGTGGACCAAACTGGCGGATAAATAATCTGCAGGCGTGTGTCATCACATAGTCGAACGACAAACCTGTCATTAACATCCCATCTGGGCGTCGCGTGGTCAAACAAGGCGATCGAACGTGATTGATCGTCATAGCTATATCCTTGACTTAATCTCCATATCGAGCGATCTTCGAGAACTGCTTTTTTTCTTTCCGAAGTGCGTAGTATCGATGGACACGTGAGTAGAGAGGAAGCGAAGCAGCTGATTTCGTCCCGAAGGAAACGAAGGTACCGATCAAATCACCAGAGAAAGAAGTATCGGCTCGGTATTGAGTTTACATTCAGATGTGACCGAAAGCTTAGAACCTTGAACTCGCGTTACAAGGAACGAATTGTGACGATGTACGTCGTACGAGAATGCAAGTGTTGCGTTCAAAGAAATTGCTCACTTCGCGAGAGATTATCTTTTTACGATACAATCTTTGCCTCTATTAATTCTCTCCGATACCTCTGTTGCCTATCGAAGCTCTTTTAAATAGTAGCAATCGCGATTCAAATTGGTACGCCGAAAATGATAAACGCAATTGTATCGCAGTAGCTAGCGTGCTATTAAAGACGGTCTAGTAATGTGTTTCATTTAGATTTTAGACGGCTCGTTCAATTTTGTATCGATGATATCGTAATAAAGACTCCTTGTCGTTAAATCTCACGCACTGTTACTTTTACTTACACAACAACAACCCAACAATTGTTATAGCTATAACATAATACTATCTTACAGCTTCATATAGGTTGAAGAGGAAATTTGTAGCAAGTATTTGGTAAAATTAAATCTTATTATAATATAAAAACAATTCGGCATTCACATGTTATCAATTATCAGCGATGATATAATATATTAATATACACAAAATAATCGTAGCTTTCCGATTTATGGGAACGTTTATTCCCATCGACTCTTTCTCACTCTTTTCTTTTCTCCTCCGAGATTAGAAGCTTGTATGTCCTGAGTCTTTGATTGTTCCGTATTTGGTTTCGGAGGTACAGGTGGCGGTGGGGGCATTATCACCGAAGGCCGTGTAATAGTTTGTTCCCATGTATGATCCGATGATGCCCGGAACTGAAAACCAATTCCCACGTATCACATATATCATTCCAAATTCCATGTTGGTAGTAGTGGCTCGTTCAAATTTCAAAAGAATCATTTCGTTTTCAAATTTAAAAAGTCCAATCTCATCACTCTATTATTCACTAGAAACACTATTCAATGACGATGCAATCGTACAGGATTTTTAATTGTCTAATGGACATGGTCGTTACATACGGATGCACAAACACCATGGATGGATATTTTGTCTATCTTAACCATTCACTTTCACGAACTCAGGTTATTACACATAATTTTATATCTTGTAAAATATATATCACACTTACTTTATTGTTAGTTACATTTTTATTATACAAAAATTCATTTATTCTATTTTTAAAGGAAAAGAAATTTGTACATCGAGATTATACGAGAATATACTTGAAAACTTATTAAAATATTTTTACAAACTGTCATTTTGATAATTAAATGATCTTTGTTTGTTTCTTTTTGAAAAACAAATAAATATATTTTGTTATTTAACTTCCATTTAATATATATCAAGTTTTTTAAATTTTTCATCGTATTGTATATATGAGATATTATACACTAATACATATTATACCATATGTATGATGCTGCATATAACGAAATAGGACGTACCTGAGAATTGTACTGACTGCGGAAAGCAGCTTTCATAGCCGATAATCGATCGCTACCTGGTCCGTGTCTTTCTAACTTTTTAACAACTTCGCTTATGTCCTTAGATCCTTGCGACGAGGAACCACCACTCTAAAGAACATTTTTAAAATTTTGATTTGGAACGTCATATTAGAATTAATGAATAAATACCGAAGTCGAAGATGTTTCTGGCCTTCCTCTGAATCCGAGTCCGGCTCCTCCAACGTTCAAACTCTTTCCCTTTCCACCTTTGAATCTAGACTTGCGGAACCACGCGCTTTGCATCGCTAAATCCATAAGACTCTTTGGTACTTCTTGATTTGCACCCTCCAAATTCCGGACTAAGTGGCCTGTAAACTCTTTGTCTTTCTCTATTACTAGAGTATACGCTGTCCCTTTTTCACCTGCTCGACCTGTTCTACCTATTCTATGTGTATGGGTATCTATATCTCGTGCGACATCGTAATTTACGACAGTTCTGATATGTGGAATGTCCAAACCTCGAGCTACAGAGAAGTTAGAAAATTGAAATAAAAATTGGAATCAATCGTTTTGGCCGAATTAAAGCAAAAAAAAGAAAAAAAAAAAAAGAAAAGAAGAAATAATTACCTGCAACGTCAGTAGCAACTAAAGTACTGACTTCTTTTTTTTTAAAAGCAGTTATTACTTTGTTTCTTTCAATTTGATCCATATCACCGTGTAGAAGTAGAACGTCAAATTCTTTCAATTTGAGATTGTTTGCGAGTTCCTCTGCATTGAGCTGTGATAAAATAATCAGTTGGAAAAATTAAATCGTTATAATTTCAGTATCTATTGAATAACTTGCACATAATTACGCAATATAAATAATTTTATAATTTTACGAAGTTTATAAGAAAAATTAAATTAATCAAATGTACGAATATTTGCAAATAAACTACAGTTATTGACCTTTTTTGTTACAAAGATTAACAAACTGCCAGCGCTTAAGAATTCAACTAAATTCTGCAACAACCAAGTCCATTTGCCAGTAGGATTATTATTGAACACTATCACGTGTTGCGTGACGTCGGCATTCGCTTCACCGACATCCCCTTGGACTATCCTAACTGGATCTGTTAGAACGTCCCTGGCAAGCTTTTCTACCCTCTTTTTGAAAGTTGCGCTGAACAACAACGTTTGCCTATCCGGCCTTACATGGTTACATATTGAACGTACTTGTGGCTCTGGAATCAAACAGAGCGAATAATAAACATGCAAAAGTATTATTAATAGGAACAGAAGTTTCTCCAACAACCGCATACGATCGATAGAGAAAACGTTTCTTCCTGCTTTATTATAGTTAAATTCTATTGCTTACCGAAACCCATGTCGAACATTCTATCAGCTTCATCCAACACTAAAAACGTTACTCTGGTCAAATTCGTTGCCTTCATTTTAACTAAATCTATCATTCTACCGGGCGTTGCGACTACTATTTCCGCACCTCCTTCTAGTGCTTTACTTTGCTCCCATTTACTGCCACCGCCGTAACAGCAGCATACTTGAATATTATACACTTTGCCAAATTTCTTTGCTTCTTGGTAAATCTAAAAGCGCAAAGAGTCGAATGAACTTACACGTCTTCAAAACTGTCCATATATGTGTGCTCTGATATTAAAATAAGTTATACAAAAAAACGGAACAAATTTTCCTTTTATATTAATATAAATTATAAATGTGTCTAATATGCATGCATTTGATGCTTATAGTTTCATTTTAGACTACTTTAACGTATTAAGTAAACACCTGTTGCGACAATTCTCTTGTAGGGGCAAGAATCAAACCGATAGGTCCGTCGCCTGCCTTCAATTCTCTCTGATCCATTATGTGGACCAGCATTGGCCAAATGAAGGCTGCCGTTTTACCGCTACCAGTTTTTGCTATACCAATTATATCTCTGCCACTCAATGCGGCTGGAACTGCTTGAGCTTGAATAGGCGTAGGTTGAGTGTATTCGTTTTTTCTAATGGATTTTATTAATGCATCGTCGAAACCAAAATGACCAAAACTGGTAACTGGATTTGGTGGAGACGGACCAGACACCTTTATCCCCAGAGTTTTCCTTAGGTCGTCGATCTGTTGTTTACTTAAACTAGCGATCTCGTCATGAACGTTATAAAAATTCTTCTCGAAGGGTTCATATTGTATCTCGCTGTGATCGATAGGCGGTAAGGGATCGATCTCTTTCTTTCTTGGAGGCGCGATTGGATTTCCATCCTCATCATATTCAATTTCTTGGTCAGATTCCTCTTGTTGCAAACCAGCGGTTGGATTCTCCTCCATATACCTTGATAATAGAATAATTCAATATTTCTCTATTTTTTATTTATTTCTTTTTTTTTACAAATACAGCAATGCCTAATAAAAAAATTCACAAATCACCTATAGTAACTTTCCTCGTCGTCCTCGCCATCAATGTCTGCTCTAAATCCCTTCGATTTCTCCTCTCTACGCTCATCTTCCGCAAGCTGAGCCTCATAATTATTTCTTTTAACTTCTGCATCTATCCCAGCCATAAATGCATCCAATGGATCTTCTTCGCTATCACTTTCTTCTTTTGGAGTTGATTTTTTTATCCAGTCATAAGTGGGAGATCCAGGGGCAGGAATATATTCCAAAGAAAATGATGGTGGATCATCATCATCTTCAAAATACCTAGATGTACCAGTTAATCTTATATTTCTTTTTGTTTTTACTTTTGGTCTCTTAAAATGTATACTCACTCTTCCTCGGTTTTGCTACGTTTTTTCGGCATGCCCCAACATGCGGATAAGGCATTCTCGGTGATAGAATTCATAGTGTGATAACCTTGTTTGCTTAGAGTAGAATTTGGTGGAGGTGGTGGTATGTTAGAACCACTTCTTTTTGTGCCAGTCATTTGAAAGCCAGCAAACCCAAAGCCTTTTGGCTTATTACCTCCTCCACGGTGATAACTCATATTTGTCTCCTTATCTGCTAAAATTTGAGTATATTAACAGTCGCTTCTGTATCCCAGAGCCATTTTGCTATCCCAGAAAAAGCTTAAAGTCCAAGTGAAACATATATTCATGATCAGCTTCTGCTTGCCCTACTTTTACATCTCTTGTTCATTATCGCACAATTTTTCTTAAAACTAAAGGAACGTGTTACTTATTTATTAATTATATAACTAAATATCAAGAGAATACATTGTAGACTTTATATCAAGACACAAACATATATGACAGAAAGCCAACTGCATTGTCTATTATTTCTCATTTATTACAGTAGTAAATATGATGAACAAAACGCGAGAATATGTTGGAATATTAATGCAATATTAACTGAAAGCTATTTAAAATTTCTTTCTTAACAATATATATATTCATTGTTTTCGTTCGAACAAAAGGAAAGAGGTTAGGACACCTTTGTATCCACTAATAAAACGGGATACGTTGAAGTATGTATTTTTCACTTGCGAACACTGATTCACGATTTGGACGATATTTTGAAACAATCACGGAAAGGGTAACTATTTTACACAAATATTCTCCAAGAAGTTACTTCATATCTAATTAAATGCGACTCCAAGATATTTCAATATCGAACGGTAAAATACCAAGTGTAACAACTCAGACGGTGCTGCCTCCATGTGGTGCCATTGATATCCTGCGTTACATACTCAATATCTGAATGATCGTGTTCCTCGGAGAATAACCAACGAAGGATATTATCTATTTATTATGATTTAATTTAATCTAGAACTCATAAATTAAAAAAAAAATATATAATAACTATAGTTAGAAAAAAAAATGATTCGTATTAGGTACCATTTCCTCACCCCTATCCTCACCCCTATCTATTGAGCAATATTACACAACTTTCGGCATAAATTGTAATTACACTTAGCTAAAGGAAGTTCAATACAAATTGATCGTGAAGTTATTGATAATCATATCGTCTCATAAAGTTAAATTCAGAGAGTCTCATAAATAAATAAATTAACGATTGAGGGATAGAATCGGGAGGATCCTCCCTTTTACCGAGTGTGCTGGAGAACAGAAAAACATAATAGGATAAGTTTTAGTGAGGCATGCATATTATCACGGAAATGTTTAAAGGTATCTTCATTCATACTCTCGTAGTTGAGTGACATAAATAGTTCTATCACAGCTGAATCGATCGAACATCCGAGCCTGCGTGTTAACGGAGGCGCCATGCGACTTCTCTGTAGATTTCAGCGTCTGTCGTGATCTCGTTCGTCGCAGTTGAGATTTTATCACAACGAGTCAAACGTCGAAAAATTCTAGATACGGGCATAGTCAATTCCACGTAAGTATGGTACTATTTATGAAACCTCTGATTAGTATAACGGGCAATGCTGAAACATTCGCTTTTGAAATACTCCTCCATCAGTACGATACGATTTATTTTAACACTTTATTCACTCAAGTTTCCAAACTCGGGAGAATTTTACTAACGAAATTGATTGCAATTTTCATGCACGCGAAATGTCATAATTTGTTTTAATTTGTTCGATCAATCAATTCAATATCATAATTTGTTTTAACAGTAATCTGTTTAAAATAAGCGAAAATGCCATCGGTTCGCCGGATGATCCTCGGACACGTTATGTCCGGCTTGTGTACCAAGATGAATCGTACGAAAAAGCTTCAAGGAGATTTGCTTGAAACTCCGATGAAACGATGTCTCACCACGTTCGATATCACGCTTCTCGGTAAGTACGCTTTTTTCGTGCTATTTTAGTCGTAAGGACGTGCACGGCCATCTCTCGCGATATCGCGGCGATAAAGCAGAAAAATGTTAATTGAATGCGCGCCGATATAGCGTTGAAGAAGACGATAAATGAAGTATTTATACCTGATATTTCCCTTGTTACTTTATGATCTTTCGAGCTCATATTTATGATATGTATGTAGATACATAGATTTATTTTTCAGGCGTTGGTCATATGGTTGGCGCTGGAATCTACGTTTTAACAGGAACGGTGGCTCATAATACGGCCGGGCCAGCTGTAATTTTGAGCTTTCTCCTCGCTGGTTTAGCTTCATTGTTGGCAGCGTTGTGTTACGCTGAATTCGGAGCTCGAATTCCAAAAGCTGGCAGCGCTTACGTTTACACGTACATCTCTGTCGGTGAATTCTGGGCTTTCGTGATAGGGTGGAATATCATATTAGAGCATATGATCGGTAATGTTATTTTCTCTGGAGTGACTCCTTAAGATTCATCCCTGTAACGTTACGTTTGCCAATGTAGCAAATGTGCAACTTTTTACAGAGCCTCTGGCCATTGAATTAGGACAACCTAGGATTTGCAAATTGGAAATTTTATTATAACCATTAAAATTATAGTCACATACATATTAGCGAATTATATATTACTATAAATACGCGTGTTACAAAAAATACGCGATTCAGAGGATAGTTCATTTGGATTTTTACAAGTATGTTATTTATTTCATAGTGTGAAAGAAAGAATTGAAAAGAAGATATATACAAACAGTGTACAAACTGTAAAAGCAAACATACAAACTATATATGTATGGACTTTTATAATTAATAGGATTAGTTATTAAATCGCGTTCAAACATTCCAATTTTGCTGGAAATGTTGTGAGATGTTGAAAAATACGAATGGTCCTAATTTAATGGCCAAAAGATTCTTTTCCGAAAAATAGTATTTCACAGAAATTTACAAACGTTCATAAAATAAGAAAGTAAAATAATAAAAAAGAGCTGTTTCTTTTTGGCACCATTTTTTAGAATTCAGTGATTTCTTAAGAAATTAATCGTCCATATCAGGTCGTAAATTTGGAACTTTTATACGGTATGTATTTTATATGGAAATAGGTGCGGCATCCGTGGCCAGAGCATGGAGCGGATACGTCGATTCCTTGGCAGGAGGATCAATCAGCAATTACACACGTCGAATAATGCACGGATACACTATGGCTGAGCCACTTGGAACTATTCCAGATTTTTTGGCCGCTGGATTATGTCTAGCTTACGCGATGCTGTTAGCACTGGGTGTAAAATGCTCGGCAACGGTCAATTCTTTACTTACCACAATAAATTTAGGTGTGATGGGATTGGTGATTGGACTGGGCATATATTACGCGAAATTCTCAAACTGGAGCTGTGGTAACTTCATGCCATTTGGATTCAGTGGAGTGTTGGCAGGTATTTCTGAACTTAGATTATAGATTATCGTTATAATTTGAATCACGACGTTTCCAATCGTATTCGTTCTTCTTCGCACTTTCATCATACGCCAACAGGTGCTGCAACATGTTTCTACGCTTTCGTGGGCTTCGACTCGATCGCCACTTCCGGCGAGGAAGCGCGCGACCCTGGATACAGTATACCCCGAGCAACGTTGTTCTCGATGGCAATCGTAACTATTGGATACATGATGGTCGGCGCCGCTTTAACTTTAGTTGTACCATATTGGGAAATCAATCCAACAGCCGCTCTTCCCGAAGCTTTCTCATCGAGAGGAGTACCATGGGCGAAATACGTGATAAGGTCAGAAGAATGTCAAATAATTCTTACCTAAAGCTTCCTGACCTAAGGAACACCTTTGTTGGAATAATCTTTCCGCGCACAATTTCCATGTGCGACACAGTGTTGGGGCTTTGTGCGGAATGACGACGACACTCTTCGGATCGCTGTTCTCATTGCCACGAACAATGTATGCCATGGCAAACGATGGCCTGCTCTTTGGCTTTTTGGGCCACGTTAACGAACGCACTCAGGTCCCGGTTCTCAATTTGGCTATCAGCGGCTCAGTCAGTGCCTTAATCGCCTTGCTCTTCGATCTTCAACATCTAGTTGAATTTATGTCTATCGGTACTTTCCTGGCTTATACCATCGTTTCGGCGAGTGTGATTATCTTGAGATATCGTCCTGAGAAGAACACACCGCCACCGTCGAACGCTGGTACGCCAAGCAGTTTGACATCGCCTCCTACCGAGGGTGCAGATTCTAACAGCGATTGTAACAGCGTCGCGTCTGCGGAATCTGAGGTAAAAAAAAAAAAAAAAAGAAAACAAAAACAAAAATCAAACTAGAGTACGGATTTCTCTTGCATTTCAATAGATATGTTCACAACTATTTTATTCCTGAAATAATTCTAAGAATATCTGAAACACAAAGTCCAATACAAAATTTCACTTTTTTTCCAATTAAATTTTCCTAAAATTGTTTTATGAAATATTATTCCACGCTAACTTTTGTACATATTACAGCTTTTAGATTTGAGCGAGGGCACTGGCAAACTTAAATCACGATACGTATGGCTGGTAAATTTTTTGGGCAACTGCAAGCCTGGAGATGCAGTCACCGGTTCCGTAATGGTTTACACAGCGAGTTGTATTTTCTTGTGTTACTTGTTGATGCTCATATCTCAAACATATTTCGCCCCAGACTGGTGGGATTACTTCGTTCTGGCGAACGTTGTTCTATTGCTAATTGGAAGTAAGTCCCGAGTTTTTTACTCAATATTACGCGTTCTTAAATTAATCGAATATAATTGTAGGTCTCGTCGTGATCAGTGCACACCAACAAAATTCTTCTAATGATAAATTCCGCGTACCTTTGGTACCCATTGTACCAGCCCTGAGCATTTTATTCAACGTAGGATTGATGTTCCACTTGTCGCTTCTAACGTGGTTACGATTTCTTGTGTGGATGGTAGTTGGTAAGTTAAATTCTCTAAATTTTTAATTTAATTTACTAACTGAATTACTTAAAATATATTTGGTAATTAATCAAAGTACATCAATTTAGAATATATCAGCATTAAGTGTAATATAATTTACTATAAATACTTAATATTAAATATTACACTTAGTATTGAATATATTCTAATTACTTTAATTAATTACTAAATTTACTGTAACTTATACTATAATTCAAATAATCAATATTCCAGTCTTTTAAGATTCTACTAAGACACTACTTTCGACATTTTATATATTTTTTCATGTTACATGCGATTTTACACTTTAAAAGTTCCTATAACTGTATAAAACTTCGCACTCTAATTATATAAGTTTCGAACGTTTAATTAATTCCAAATCTCACCAATCTCATTCCACAACTAACAATATTTGTTTCAGGAATGCTAATATACTTCCTATATGGGATTCACTACAGTAAAGAAGCGGCTAGTCCGAATTCATACTCGATTTTAATGGCAACCTCAGAGGCTGGTCGGGGTGCAAAATGGGGCGCGACGTTGCGGGTGAATCAGAAAAGCGACAAAGTTCCGATTTTAGACGAGGAAGATTTCGCACATTAGAAGCATAGAGAGTTCGTCAGAACTGTGTAAAAAATCATGCCAATCAACGCTGAATAAGTAAGTAAATACTATTGCGCAGAGAATGGGGAAAAGCTGATACATGAATTTGACCATTGTTTTCTTACGTACGCGCCGATTTCGATCGAAATTTAAGTGTCCGATTGATCTTTGTATATACCGATTTTATGTAAAATGCTAACTCGAATTATTGATGTTCAAGATTACTCTGTCTTTAAATATTAAGCAAACTGGATACTGAAAGGATATCAATGTTGGAAAGTTTCATGCTTCATTCTGTTATTTATCTCGGCTAATTTTCGACAGATTATTATACCATATATATATATTTGTACATCGGGATTTAGTTGAAAGTATCTTGATCTTTGTATTTTATTATATTTTTTATCGCGCACAATTTATGGTGTATACAGTGCTTTACATATGTACATTAATTCCCACTGTGTATAGAAAATTTTATCTGTGTATACCGGATTGTACATTGGAACGTTTAGTTGTACGTGTATATTTATATGGATGCACAAAGAGCAAAGTTTGTCGAACGATATATAGTATAATAGTAGAATTCAATCGACTAAGGAAAAAAGGTATCGTATTCCTAGTACAAATTTGATTTCTGGGAAATGATCGTTTGGTCCAGAAGAACAATAAACTATTCGAAACTATTTATAAATTTGACGTTGTAATCAAAAAAAGAAAAGAAAAGAAAAAAAATTAAAATGTAAAGAAAGAGGGAGAGTGTAGTTTTAATGACCAGATTTTGAAAAGGCATGCAGAACGATTATCTATTTGAATGATTATACAATAGATTTGAATGTTCTGCTGCACGGATCGAAACATGGTGCCTTGGGAACGGATAGACTAATTATACAGTAAGATATACGAATCTAAAAGCATGACAATAGATTCATCTATTACATGGCGGGCATTAAGTTTAAGGATTATCTACACACGGATTTGCTAAGCACACGGATTGCCCCCGGTGGCGTATTAATCATCGACATATATGCATGTATATTCTGGAATAACTTTCTTATTTGCACTTTTTGGACAATTCGAACACTTCTCTTGCATTCCAAGATTACAGGGAGAAATATGATAAACAAGTTTCTGTTGAATTACCTTATGACTAGGAAGGAATATTTTAGTATAAAATACATAATCAAAAGTGGAAAGAGAATCTATTAGATCTAAAAATAATATAATTGATTTT